CCTTTGATCACGGTCGCAAGGTGATATCTTCACCGTAACACTTCGAAAAAAAATCCTAAAAATTTTTTTTTTCGAAAATTTAGGTGTTTTTTATGTTTCAATCGAGCATATCTCTTTTCCTGTGAGTTTTATCATGATTCTGCCAACGGATTCTGAAAGAGCATGTAATTTTACATCAGAATATGTGGTTCAAGAATTTTTTCAACGCCAATTACATAGGAAAAAATCACTTTGAAAACGTGCAAGAAATTTTGACATTTTGGACGTTAATGGGTTAAAACGATTTTCAAAAGCAGAATGAATTGGTCCCAAATAATACCATCTCCTTGAATTTAATCTATATTTAACTAAGATGTTTGAATAATTCTACTGACTTTTATGAAATTATTAAATTGTGTTTCTAGAAAAATCAATTGTGTAACACAAGTTTGACCTTGTAGTATTTCCCGATATAAATAACTCAGCTTTAAATATCGATCAAGAGCAATGAAAGCAGAATTTGCTAAATATTTCCATCTAAAAAAATTATCTACGTCGACTCCTTTGTCAAGAAATTTATAATAGGCCGACCACAGATCTTTTAGTTTGTTCAAAATATGAAATTGAAGACACATTTATTGAGATACTTAATAAATTACTTTGTAAATTAAGAGTTGGCTTTAAGATACTTATGAATTATACAGGGTCTGTAAGCTGCTTTTTCTAGCTACTAGTAGTCAATAGGGACTACTGTTAACTACCATCTAGGGCTACAGACGATCTTAACAGACTGTGCTCTTTTTTACGGTGGACTAACTTTCAAAGGCAGGCGGTGGCGCTCTTCGCAGCGGCTTCGGCGCTGTGAGCTATGGAAGGGATATCTTCTGCCGGAAAATTGGGGAGGCGATTGTTGTGACACTAAACTAGTGTACGCAGTACTGTGACCTATGGAAATAGTAGCTTATACTGAAAAATGGGGAGGCAACTGCAGAGACATCTAACTAAATAGAGTATATATTGAATTCCAACGTTCTCTTTTCTAGGCTAGCTATCGTATTGTTCGAATATATTTACGAGGACAAGGATTCAAAATGGAGATAGATAATTGCTAATAATTACATTTTCTACTTACTACAAATAAATATACCTAAGGGAGGTGGGAGAATATAAAGTGGGAGAGTAGTTGAGTGGAGAATCGTAGGCAAAGATTACTTGGTGAGCTAAGTGGGGGTGGTGCACTGAACTCTATCTTTCAATATAAACTTAATGCAGCTTTAGCAAACATCTTCCCCTCCCTATACATCTCAAGCAAAAGAGGGAGAGAGAAGTACGCCGAGCCAATATATAACTTAGCCAGTGCACTACAAGCTAGAAACGCTACACCCTCCCCGAGGGCCTACACCTAGTCAGCATATACTTACTGAGAGCCCTACTGTCGAAGGAGAACGAGAGAGAGAGGAAGAAAGCGAGAGAGAGAGGAAGAAAGCGAGAGAGAGAGAGAGAGCAGCATCCACGATATACAGTGTATGCGACTAACCAGCATATAGCTTACTAAGCTAGGGGCTACCCACTCTTCGAGGGTCTATACTTATCCCGCACATATAGCTTACCAAGATAGAGACGCTACCTTTTTAATACGTAACATACTCGTACTGTCTTGATTTCCTTATAGTTTTCTTAAATGATAAAATTTATAATAATGGAAAGAAGGGAAATAGTGAGAGCTGGAAATTAACTTAACTCTAATTATATTCAGCAACGTTTCGTCAGTACATTTGCTGACCTCTTCAGGCTTTCTTAACAGAGAAACAACAAATTATTACCAACTGTGCTGACGAAACGTTGCCGAATATAATTAAAATTAAGTGGATTTCCAGCTCTCACTATTTCTCTTCTTTCCATTATTACAAATTTTATCATTTAGAGACGCTACCCCCTCTCCGAGGGCTCACACCTAGCCAGCATATAGCTTACCAAGTCCCCTACCAATTTATATAGCATCCTACCTTTATGATCTCTATAGAAGGAATCTACCTTGACAGTCTATATAATAAAATTTATTATTTTATTATTTACTAATAGGGGGGGGGGCTCTGGGTGGTTGCGACTAGGTCAAGGAACCACTACCATCAGGAGGTCGGTGGGAGGCACCTCTCACTCCCCGACCACCCACGATGCATGCGCAGCGCGCGCACGCGCAAATCCCTATATATGTTTCAAACTACCTGAACCCTCCACGAAGTGGCTTCAAACATACATTGCTTATCTACTATGTACATAAATGTTAAATAGATTATGAATTCTTGTTATTGATTACGCCTATTCCTGTCCTTTTTCTTATCGCATACGTGAGAAATCTTACCCTTCTGTGCCGTTACTAAGCAACAGAGACTTTCGGACTTTTCATTTATAAACAATTTGTCGTGCAGTTTCTTTTAGGAAACGCAAAAGTATAGAAACGTATAACATGGCATTCTATGTGGGGATTTGCGGTCGCATGTATGAAGAGAATAGGCGTTTTTGTTTGTTTTCTTTCATGTGAAAATTTGGGAATTCGTCGTTTTCAGTGTGAGAATTTTTGAAAATAAGTTTAATCGTTAGAAAGTTGAGTAAAGCTCACTCGACTCATAGTGGAGAATGAGGCAGCAGCAAAGCAAATGTTTGTTGTTGTTTTGGTGATTGGGCATCGGCTCGTAAAGCAAACGTCCGCTGGCGAACTCGATTTTTATATCAACAGCTTAGCTTGCCACTTTCTCTTGCGTTTTCACCTCTCAATTTGCATTTATCGTTACTAGCGCGTCGAATATATCTGTGTATGAAGAGTAAAGAGTGGTATGGATGCGAGATTTTTGCGTGCTTATTTAAGATTTTATTTGTTTTGTTTTCGTACTGTACGCATGCTGTGACTGCGTTCATGTATGAGGCGAGAGGAGAGAATTTTCGTCTCTCTTCTATGTTTTTGCCTGTCTATCATGGTCTTTATTCTACGGTGTTGTCGGTGCAGGTTTCACGCTAAATGCTTTGTTTTCAGTTTGAGTCGACGTTAGCGGGTTCAAATTCATTGCAGCATTAATTTTGTATCGAGGACCGTGCATGGTAGTGCCGGAGGTAGTGTCGACGGTGTTTTATGAGATGAGCGCTGTAAAAAAAATTTATTTTAGTTATTAAAATTTAAAAGGATATAGGGCAGATACGCTGATCCCCTCACCGAAGTTTGAGAAGCCGCTAGTGTATTATGAGAAGGTATGAGTAATAATGAGTGTGGCTGTTTTATTTCGATATTGAGTGTCATTTTCTTATTATTATTATTGAATTTTATTTTTCATTTATATGTACTATAAGAGTCGAGCGACATTCACTGACTCTTAGTACCTCTCCAACAGTTTATCCACGAAGGAGGAAGGACTTGCAGTCTTGCATGGGTGGACCCTTCATTAATTCGTGATATCCCTGACGTGTAAAGATGGCGTAAAGATGCGTCGTATTTTGAAAACCGCACGTTTTAAAGCCCTAAAAAATGGATCGACGAGATCAAGCCCGGGCAGTTGATTGATTTAATAAATTTAAGACGGCTCAGTACATGTGGTACAATAGAAGAGAATTACGTGATCGTGAGTTACGATTTATGATGGCGTGTTCATTTGTTTAGTGCGACAATTATGCGAAAGATTATGCGGAGGTACTGCGATAGTTCAGTGTAGACAACAACTGATTAGATCTTTGGAGGAGCTGCAGTGTACAAGAGAGGCGTTACATTTTCGGTTGGCTGTAGCTGCATCTCCTAAAAAAATTTGTTTCTCTCTCACTCACCAATATTGCCGAAAACGCGTCGTGTAATAGGAACGATTCGGTGGTCCTTCGCCTGAGTCACAATTTAGAGAGTAATCTCTCGAGGATATTCGTGCTGATCGTCGCCGAGATTTCATGGTTATTAGTTAGAACTTTCCGGCGTCGCGGTGACACAAATTTGTTAATTTTGTAACATTGGCCCGTTGTCGGTCGAATGAAATAAATGCCGATATATGTTTTTAAGACGTAAGAATATATAAGTATCAAATAGATTGTTAATTCTTATCATTGAATACGCCTATTCCCATCATTTTCCTTATCGCGTGAGAAATCTTGCACTTTCGTGCTTTCGTAGAGCAACAGAGCCTTCCGGACTCCTTTATAAACAATTTATCATGCAGTTTTTTTTTGGGCAACACAAAAGTAAAGAATCATCAGAAAAAATCAGCAGATGGAAATGTTTTTTCCGTTTTCTGAATGTCAGATTTATAGCGTGTCCTTAAAAATAGTGAACCATGGCTTTGGACATTTTTTAGGAAGTTGAAAATATATATCAATACATCTTTGAAAGTTCATGATCAAATGTATAATTTTAGGATGAAACAGGTTATTGTAGTCTGAAAGGATATTGGCTTGCAACTCGCTTGCAGTAAGAACTTTTATTGAACTTGAAATTATCGGATACTAGATTTCGCATTTATCTCTTTTTTTGTTTCGTGATTTTGCGCTTATTTTCAGTTGCACGAAACGTATGCACAGTAACATTCGGTATACAAGTAGAAGACCTAGGCGGAAGTCGGAGAGATTGATAATTCATTTGCACTGCTACTTGCAACTCGAATACGTTTCTTTTGTATGAAAAGGTAATTGTAACATTTGAACCAGCATATAATTCTGTGCGATATTTCTTTTCGAGTGCTGTTACGGATATTCAGCCTCAGAATTGCACTTGGTATGAAACGTAATGGCAAGACTTCAATCTTCACGAATAGAACAAGTTTTTGGTTAGGACATGACATGTTGATTTTTTGTATATGCCTTCTAAAGAAGTTATTTATAGGATCTGTGTGTAATAAAGTATATTTTTCTATCATATAAATAACCATCTTCTCAAAAATGTATAATTTGTGACTGTGTTTCAAAATGTTTGTAACTTATAATCAGAAATAGTATAAAACGTTGTTATTATTATTTAATTACTTTGTACTATCTTAGTTCTATAACTAAATTACCTTGCAATTTTTGCAGCAGGGTCCAGATGCACATTCTGATTCTCGTGTTAGCTTACAAGTTATAGCATCACAACAAGGATCTAAATTCTGACATTCGTCTATGGTACCACAATCACATTGTTCGCCCTCATCAATTATCCTATTTCCACACAATCTTCGTACCTCTAGCTAAAAAAAGCAATATGTTATATATAGATACATATCATGTCAGTTATGAAAAAAATATTAGTACAGTCGATAAAATGTTAAGGGTGAAATAATAGACCAATAGAGTGCATCGTAGCATATTTTTAATGAAAGAGAAGACACACTCAGCGTTTAAAAGTCAAGCTATTAACTGTATTTTTATTGTTGTTGAAAGTAAAAATTAATTAAATTTTTTATTGATAATGTAATCGATTAGATATAAATGATTTTTATAACTATTTCGAGACCATACATAGCTAATTCATAATGCATCTTATGGAAATATCTATAATATTGTATATATTGATGAGTGTATAGCCCAATTAAAAAAAATACGAAGAGCAAATAAAAGTTAAAAAGGGGAAAAAGAAACATAGTTTACGAAACAAAAAAATACTTATCCCTTTATATATATACTCACACACAAAAAATAACTAAATATATATTATATATTCTAATGAATGGATATACATTAAGGCGTGTGCCTATACTAACTAAATACTGCGAATAGGAGAGAAATACTGACCAAGAAATTCGGAAGCATGCTAGAAAAGGCGAGAACTGATTATAAGGGGATGGGCTATAGACAACTAGACGAGAATAGTTTTGTCAGACAAGAAAAAACAAATTTTTTCCGCTCATCGCCCTTTTGGTTTTACTGAATCGCTCCTTTCTCTACCATATATTCTCACGCGTTTGGTACACAAGTAACAGATCTAGGCGGTAGTTGAAGTGATGGATAATTCATTTGCTGATAGCATTAAATTCTATAATTATTCATTTAACCCGTTATTACAATATAAAGTGATTCAAATTATAGGATTCATTTTGAAAAATTAAAAAAAATAGGACTAAAAATAATTTTTTCCGAGACTAGGTAATGAGATAATTAATATGAAAGATTAGCTAGTTAGTGGCTGGCTCCAGAAGAGTACTTGCAACGATTAGCCGATTACGAATAACAGCTGTCTTTAACTTTCAGTACGCGTGAACTGTTATGAATAAAATGTCGATTAGGTAAAGATTGATCAATGTCACTAAACTCAAGAAGCCAAATTATGCAGACTAATGATTGTTTTTGAAACAGCAGACCAACAATAAATATTATAGCTATGTTCATTCTGGCCCCCAGAAGTGAGTCATAAAAATGGAAGCTGTTGTAGTCCCATCATGTTATGATACGATGGGAGCTGACCCATAACGTAATGATGCGATAGAAGCTGGTTCTTGAAGTGACTGGTACGCGTAGAAGATCGCGGAAAAGTCAGGAAACGGTGGAATTTGGCAAATAATGTGATTAATATGACGGAGGTGGGAAGGAGGCGACATTAAAATACAGGAGGGGAGGTGGCGATAAATTGATATCACGTATTAATCTGACAATTAATAATGCCCGTGGCGTGTGTGATGGTATAGCATAACATGAGCGTATAGGATCTATAGTGCTAGAGGAGCTAGCCTAAGACTTACAGAGGGGAGGATAATGCTAACAAAGCGTTACAAAGTTGGAGACGGCGCGACTTATAATATGAGGCAGACGGAGGAGGCCTTGTTGAGAGAGATTTATTGATTGATCCTTCTTTATTTACTATTTAGCAAAATTTACATATTAGTGTAATACACGCATAACATAGTTATATTATATATATGTATAATAAAATTAGTTTCAATAGTAATTATTTTTATCAAGGTATCACAATTTGATTTGATTAGAGTCAATTGTAGATTTCCTTAGTCCAAACAATATAAAGTCAATAAATTGATATGATAAATATTAGTTTATAGCTAAAGAGGACTTGAATTGAACTGTTAATGTGTCGGAGTTCCAGAAAATCAAATATGTATATAGCAAGACTAGAAGTTTTTTCTTACTACGAGTGATTCAGTCAAAAGATATTCAAAGACAATTGTCATAGTCAACTTAATTCAATAAAATAAAAATCTCCAATAGAACTTCAAGGCCCACGCTCTCAGCTGCAGAAAGTATTCCCTCATTCTAGCCTTGAAACAGCCGAGCGAAGGTGTGTGTCTTAAACTCGGAGGAAGAGAGTTCCAAAGACGTACCTCCAATATCTGGAAAGATCTACGGGCCGTCTCCGTCCTTGCTTCAGTATCCATGAACTCCGGCTGACCACCCTTCCTCGTTATCATGGCTTATGTTCAATAAAGAACACAACCAGATAGCCAGGCTTCCGCATATGCAAACACGTATACATAAACAGGGACGTGAAATAATCCCTGCGAATGTCCGTGGGGAGCTAACCAAGTTTCACTATAAATGGATAAACTGACTCATCCCGTGGGATACTAAAAATATACCTCACACATAAGTTACTCAATCTTTGCAGTTTTTGTCTCTGCTCCGCCGATGTTCTCAGGTATAAAACGGCACAGTTGTCTAGATGCGACTGTCCCATGACTCCATCAATCTGTGCCGGTCAGAGCTCCTAGAGCAGTTGTAGCGAGCAGACGTGTATCGACGTCCCCGTGTACAGTCGCTTTGTTTACGTTTGTGCTTATAACATAGTGATATGTAAGAACCACGCTTTAATCGCGATCTGAGGTATATCGCAGCTTGGCACGATTTGACGATAATTTCTCGCAGTTTTTTTTAACTGCAAAATCAACCAGCTATGGTTCTCCTAGTGGAGGGCCCAGCTAAAACCCAGGTTAAGCAATGTGCTCCAATCTCTCAAGTTCCAGTTACATACGCACAAGCTACATACCAGCCTAAAAGCGAACATGCTATTGTTATCGAAGCTGTAGAAGGTTCGACATTGGATGATCAAATCGACGGGCTTGAAAAATTGATCAATGTTAACGAAATCAAGTTCATCTCCAAAATCTCCGAAGGGCGTGTTTGTATCTTTCTCTCAAACCAAACTACCGTACAAGATCTCGAAAATAAAAGTATTCAAGTGGTCGATCATCAACTCAATATACTACCTCTCATTGAAAAAAACAAACGTGTTATGATCTCCAATGTTAACCCCATAATTCCAAATCAAGTCTTGGTCAGTGCTTTGAGTGAACATGGAGTACATACAGTTTCCAATATTCATCATATTCGTGCTAGCACCAGCAAACCTGGTCGTTCTCACATTCTTTCGTTCCGACGCCAAGTCTATATCAAAGAAGGTGATGAGTCATTACTGCCCGAATCGTTACAAATCAATCACAACAACACAAGTTATTGGATATTCTTCAGTACCGACTCTACTTGCTGTTTCACGTGTCATAAAGCTGGGTATATTTCTAGGCAATGTCCCATTAATAACAACACTCCTCCGTCTGTTATGCCCTCACTCGAATCCACTGATAATAATGAAATAAGCAAAACATCATCACCTCTTATTCAAGAAGCTATTCCAATGAATGCTCCCTATGAAATACCTGTTTTGAATAGTACACCCACTAACGTAAACTCTTCTTTATCTAATAGCCTCCTACCAAAAATCTCTCATCAAAAAAGAGCTATATCTACTACTAGTAACTCTTCAACCCCCAGTTTTTCTGATATCAAAGGAAGAATCACTCGTAACATTAAGCTATCTCAACTTGCCTTGAAACCTCCCCTAAAGAAAACATCCAAAAAGGATGCTCATGAGCAGCCTGACAATGCTTCTGATACAAACGACTTCGACGACATGGACGACATTCTAGCATCGGTCAAAGGTGAAATCGAGATCAACAGTTCTTCATACGTACTAAACTACGAAAATTTCAAGCAATTCCTTATAAAAGCGTACGACAAAAGCAATGCCTGCGAAATCGCTGTTGAATTCACAAACGATCTCAGTGGGCTCTCTAATATGATTACGAGGGTGGTCCGATAAGTACTTAGCCTACAAAAGAAAAACGAAAATTTTAGAAAAGTGGCGTTTTATTTTTCAACATAGTCTCCTTTTAGTTCGATACACTTGGCCCAGTGATGCTCCAACTTCTTTAACCCGTCTGAAAAATACGTTTTCTCGAGGTCTGAAAAGTAGGCTTCCGTGGCAGCGATTAACTCCTCATTCGACTCAAATTTCTGCCCGGCGAGTGACTTTTTCAAGTTTGGAAACAAAAAGAAGTCGCACGGGGCTAAATCTGGAGAATAAGGTGGATGGGGCAGCAGTTCGTAGCCTAATTCGACTAATTTGGCCATGGTGACGGCGGAGGTGTGAGCCGGTGCGTTGTCATGGTGGAAGAGCACTTTTTTCTTCGCCAAATGGGGCCGTTTTTTCTGCAATTCGACGTCAAATCGATCCAATACTGACGATGGGGCAGTCTTCGCCTTCATCGGAGCACTTTCGCAGGGTAAAGTCCACTGTTTCGACTGTTCCTTGGTTTCTGGTGTATACCAGTGGATCCATGTTTCGTCGACTGTCACGAAACGACGCAGAAACTCCTTCGGATTGCGCTTAAACAGCGTCAGACATTGCTCTGAAGTTATCTCACGGTTGCGCTTGTTGTCCTGAGTGAGCAAACGCGACACCCATCGCGCCGACGGCTTTCTCATGCCCAAAATTTCATGCAGGACATGACCCACGCGGTCTTTTGAGATGCCTACGATCTTAGCTATCTCGCGCATCTTCAATCGTCGATCTGCCAATACGAGATCGTGAATTTTTGTCACGTTATCCTCCGTGGTAGCCGTTTTCGGAGCACCTGGAGTTGAGCCTCTTGAGCCCTCTTGAGCCCTCTTCAAAAATCGACGTGCGACCACGTTGAAACTCGTTAAACCAATTTTTGACGGTCGCCTTCGAAGGAGAAGAGTCACCGTACACAGCATCCAAGCGCTTTTTGATTTCGCTGCGCGAGTTCCCGTCCAAAAACAAGAATCGAATCACCGACTGATACTGCTCTTTTTCCATTTTTCAAAAATCAACGGACACACTTGCTTTCACACGCTCTTAAAAATAAACTGCAACTCCGATCCGGCTGATATCTTGACAGTAACCATCGAGAAGGTTGTACTACGTGACAGAATATTTCTTTTG